TAAAATGCTGTTGAGTGATGACAGACTTCCGGCGTGTGACATCGTTTGATCCCACATGAATGATCACTCTTTTAACTGAAGCTGGGATGGAGCACAGCAGACCAGGAAGTTTATCCAAGAGAGCAGGTATGGTGGCTGAAGGAAAACAGCTTGTCAAGATGTTCTGGATTTAGAAGGTCAATTAGAAAGTGCATTTATTTCTGTAGATGAAAGGTTATTAATGTGGCAAGGTGGAGAAACGAGGGCCCAGGCGGGATTCGATCCCCAGACTCCCGGGTGAGAGTCATACGCTCTAACCAGTCAGCTAAAGGGACATCTCCTTGGCCAAGTAGCCAGGGCGCATGATCAATCGGGACATTGTGACAGGATGCTCACACTGTCACATCTTCCCCCCTCTTTCCACAAGCACGTCCTCGTGCTCCAAAGCAGGGTGCCACAAACTTCACATCCATGGACCTACTTGACAGTACTACATGGATCCTGCCAACAACACCAAATGTGGCAAGGTGGAGAAACGAGGGCCCGGGTGGGATTCGATCCCCAGACTCCCGGGTGAGAGTCATACGCTCTAACTAGTCAGCCAAAGGGACATCCCCTTGGCCAAGAAGCCAGGGCGCATGATCAATCGGGATATTGTGACAGGACGCTCACACTTTCACATTAAGTTGGTCAATATTTAGGAGAAAATTTACCCTTTTGGACGTTAGACAAGACAAGACAAGGTCAGGCCAGGCCAGGCCAGGCCAGGCAGTCATGTTTATGGCTCAGCTGCCTCAGGAGACGGGAGCGGGCGCCTCTCTGTGTCTAGCAACTGCTCCCGGCCAAGAGACAGGTGAAGCCGGGCACCCACCTTGCTGGGCTGCCTTCGGGAGGATGGAGCATCAGATTTGCAGATCCTTGATCGCAGGGCTACTGCTGTTAAAGGGAGGGGCACATCACCAAACCTCGGCAAACCTCCTTTTGACAGCGGCAACCTATGTTTTGTTAAATGCACATGAATGCACAGCATGTCCACCCATTCAACCAGCAAAATTAAGAGCTGAACTATAATGTTACTTACTGAAAAAAATGAAGCAAAGACATTTTGGATGGTCTCTTAGTGCTATCAGTTCCACATCTTGCCATCATTGTCCAAATAATTTCATTATTAAAGCTATAGTCCGTAATTGAAATACTTAGAATATTTTCAAAAATTCTCAAAGTTGACTATAAGGTAATCTTTCATAATTTTTTTTCCTCCCCTAGCCTCTACAGCTAAATCAATCATTATGCGGGCCTCTCACATTGATCGACTGAGTTTCATATTCATCCGATTGAGCTATCAGTCAGCGAGGACGCGCTTCAGTACACAGAGCCATGCACAGTGGTGTGATGTGACTCAAAAGCTTCACGAAATACGTAAGCTGTGTTAGCAAACTTTTATTTGGACAGGTAAATAATGTATTGTACCAGATTTTTGAAATTTAAATATAAGAAGTAATAGTGCAGCTAATTATTTGCTGCGTTTGCCATGTAACGTGAGGAAATATGGGTTTTCTGTCACAATGGTGGTGTTGGACGCTGCTGGGTCATAGCTGGGTCGCTGAGAACTTTCACCCACAGATTAAGACCTGAACGCCAGCGAGTCTGTGAGGAAACCATAACATCTGGCACCTGCAGTCTACCAGAAGATGTGTTTACATGAGTTGTACCCAGACCAAGTCAAAACATAAAGTTTAAACTTCTTTTCCTTGATTTTAATGTTAAAGTAACCATTATCATTTTGCTCATTATAAATGTGTTTAATCAAATGAATGACTATTATGCTTTGGGGTAATTATAATGGATTAATGAATCCATTCTTAAATAATGTTGAGAATGTTTGTTACTGACCTTCACACACACTCAAGCACAAACATTCACACACATCCACACACACCTGCTCACAGTAAACTCCAGACACATTTGATGACGCACGTTTGCTTTGAGAAGAGAAAGGTTTTTGGTAAGTTTCAGTCTTTTTGATTCAGTTCGTGTTGGACAACGAGAGAGAACAGACCTGAAAACCAAAGGGGGGGCAGAGCCTGTTGGCTCGTTCTTCCCCCCTTTCACGCTGTTTCTGCCAAGCCAGGCAGAATAGCTGAATCGCGACTTCTAACGAAGACTCATTACTGAGTCTTTTGATTTCTGAGTGAATTAACTTAAGAAAGCGCATCGATAAAACGCTCTACCATCCACGTGTACCGAGGGCAACTCTGGACCGGTTCCGTTCGACACCTACGTCTCCTGTCAGCCGCCGGTGTCATCTGGATGAACCACAACATCCTCCACGGCCCGGATCCGAAAGAGGGTCCACAAGAGTTCGGTGAGACAGAGCACAGTTTTTAGCGTTTGATGCAGTTCTCTGATAAGACCTAAGTTTATCCAAACCATCACTTCACTCAAACACCTGTTCTTCCTGAAGCAAAATCAGACTTACACACGCATTCATGTCACAACATTCTCAATCTTCATAAATTCATCAGAAGGTCTATTTGAGCCAGAACAGCATATCAACTGTTAAAAAGATTGTCCCACAAAGTTACCAATGTTGATTGTATTTTCTGTTTGTCAATTTCAAAATCATTAGTTTAATTTGATGAATTAAAACTTTTAATTGTGAAACTGGTTTCCTCATTGAACTGAAACACAGACACTCAGATATTATCGTCAGTTTATCGATGAAAACAACCTTTGAGTCTTCTGAACAATATAAAATTTGGTTATTGATTTATTAAAATTAATATTCCGAATTATTACGTAGCATGGTTTCTCTTTCATAAAAGAGCATAAATCCATAACGCTACAGCCATCAGCTAATGTAGGGTTATCTTGAATGCTAACTCGGCCTGTAAAGTCAACTAAATATTGGATCATTGTGTATTTGAGCTAATGCTAAGTGAAGGCTTTAACCTTAAACCATATCAAGACTATTTGTTGTGAATTGTTGTGGCATTAGCATGTTAGTGCTAGCATTGCTGTTGAATTATTTTCATTTTTAGGTTTTTCCCAGTTTGAAGACTACAGATTTGGTTCAAACGACTGATTAGCTTCTCCTGTAGAACTTGATTAAGGCTGAGAAGATAATTCAGCTGTTAGAATCAGCCTTATCTGAGCAGAAACGTATCAAATTTTAGATGTTTTTTAGCGCTAATAGGCTTTGTCTACTGTGTTGTATTGGCCTGGGCAGGTCAACGTGAGTTTCTCTGCCTCAATAACACAGATTTGATTAATAATAAGTGATTAGCAGCTCTTGCAGAGCTTGATGATGGCTGAACCCTGATTTATACTCCTCTGTCAGCTCTGCAGGGGAGAGACATACACACATAGACAAACATTTTGCTGTCTGACTTTTCCGTTACCTGGGGAGTGTTGCAAAGCAATTCCCTGCCAGGACAACAGAGGGCGTAGTGATTTTCTGTGGTATCCTGTCACCGTAACACTCATGTATCCGGGCCCATGATAGTGTACTTACTACTGTTTTTATATTTCAGAGACTTTATAACACGGAGAAAATTGTCATTCATTTTCTTCCACCTCTTCATGGTCATGGGCAGTCTAACCAACTCTCACATGAGCTGAAAGCAAATATTGTTCATCATCATGGTTTAGGGGAAGGATACATAAAGCTGTCTCAGAGATTTCAGATGTCTGTTTCCACAGTTAGCAACATATTGAGCAATGAAAGATAACAGGCACAGTTCAGGTTAAGGCTCGAAGTGGCAGACCAAGAAAAATCTGGGGTAAACAGAGGTGAAGAATGGTGAGAACAGTCAGAGTGAACCCACAGACCTGCACCACAGACCTAAAACATCATCTTACTGCAAACGGGGTCACTGTGCTTCGCAATCTGTTTTTCTTTGATGTAAAGCTAACTATGTGTCTGTGATCCTGCCTCAGTCATGTGGCCTGGCTGTGGACAGTCGGTGCTGCTCTGCATTACTCTGGCAATTTGAAGCTGTGTCCCATGAGGGGTTGGCAGATATTTTTGGGCAACTTATGCCCTCAGGCTTTGCTCTGGATGACATACCTTCCTGTCTTGTGAAGGAGGTTTGACCCGCTATTGCTGATGAGGTCTGGAATATAGTTAACTCCAGCCTGTCTTCTGGTGAAGTTTTAAATAATTTTAAACATGGTATCTGAAGAAATACACCCCTTGATGTCTAATGGCTTTATTGACAAGGATGAAGGAGCCCTGCAGCGACATACAAAGCTGAGTGAGCAGAAGCTAACGGCAGCGTGAAGCAGCAGCATGGGCTGAAGACCAAAGCTAAGCAATGTGATAAAATAGGTAAATAAATGCAGCACGGCTTAGCATGCATACTGACAATGTGACCATTACATTAGCTTAACAAGCAGGTGAAGACTTACAGATACAAGTCGAACAGTAGCATGGATAGACAGCAGTGTGATGGCTGAGCAGCAGCAATCCAAATGAGAAGCAGCAATATGTACAGTCAGGGATAGTCACCTGTACATGACTTCAGGCACATCCCTGCAGGGGATAGTCACATGTACGTGACTTCAGGCACATCCCTAAATACACCTTTTTCCCTCGAGGTTTGATCGCAGCACACCCTAGTGGCCAGTGGTGACCTCTGTGTTGGGATTATTAGGAGCGAATAATTTGTCAGCTTTTACTTACTTTTGGATTCTTCAATAAATTCTGTAAATATGGGAATATTTACCGATTTATTAATTAATTAAGATATTCTTAGGTATCTTCGGGACACCACCCCTTTAATAGGGGAAAATTAATTGAATCCAAAGATCTTATCAATCTGTCTGAAGTTCGTGGAATCGTTAGGAGCAGAAATTTTCAGCCGACACAAACAAAATTCACTTGAGGCAAAACTGGATTGAATTTTTACAACATTTATTAACTAACCTATTTTCAAATGAATAAACAATGAAATAATGAATAATAATGATGTGAAACAATCTGACCCAATAAGTGTGTCTTTAGCTTGAGTCCCCCCCAAACACTAAAAACAAGTGTGTCTGTGTGTGTGTGTGTGTGTGTGTGTGTGTGTGTGTGTGTGTGTGTGTGTGTGTGTGTGTGTGTGTGTGTGTGATGTGATGGAGGAATGTGAGCTGTAAGCTGTGACTTTTCCTCTCTCAGATGTAGACAAAAGAATTAGCTTGCACTTAGTGACTTAAAATTTCACAGTAACTTAACCTTAATTCAGTTTCACAGTAAAACTTTAACCGTTTCACCAGTTGACAAAACAACAAAGATCAACTTGAATATCTAAAAGCCTGTCCAGCCGGGCCCAGCTTAAACAAACACAGATATCACAATAATAAACAAACAGACCGTACTTGGAGTTCTGATGGCGGTTTTGGTACGAAAGAGAAAAAAAAACGTCTGATAATTTCAAGCAATAGCACGGTGTAATTGCTTATTCTGAACTATAAAGGAAATGGGATAAGATAGAGAGAGAGAGAAAGAGGCGAGTTACTCATCACCAGAACAGCGAGGCGTCCCTCACTGTTTGATTTGACGGTTCTCCGTTGATTTGACGGTCCTCCGCTGTTTTCCAGCCAGGTTCTGTACTCACATGTCCGGAGTCATATGTGAACGTTTCCTCATACATTGGCTAGAGATCAGCACCAGGAGAGCAGGCCTGATGGGCTTGTGTGGTTTGGCTTTTCAGCGGTTCCGTGAGCTCCACTTCGGCACTTAGACCTCCCGCGTGCTGGCGTTGATCGGAGCGACCGCAGCAAAACGTCTTCAAGCCAGTCGACTCTGGGCAAAAGACAAAGAACAACTTCGCTTCGCTATAATTTATAGCTTTTTCGGCTGGCGGGAAAACTTGCACATGCGCAGAACTCGTGCTCTCGGCTCCGCTTTGGTGACGTCATCACACTGCTTCCGTGTGCAAAGCATCATGGGAAATGAAGTGTCTCTTGGCCGCTGGAACTTATTATCTGCTTTTTCAGAGCAATTTAGCACAGTCTTTTGGAGAAAATTACTGCAGCAATTTCTCACGAGGGCAGACCCTCAACATCTGCATTATCATTAAAGAGCAAGTAACGTCTAAATTAACTTTTTTTTGCTGATGAACTGTATAAATGAGTGTCTAATAGTGTTTTAAATGTGTGCATTCTTTATTTTAGCATTTTGGTGCATTTTCTTTAAAAATTAAAAATTCTGTCTAAAAACCACAGTAATGTGCCACCTTCAGCTGAAAACATAGAATTTGAGTCATTCTGAATAAATTTTAGCCAATGGCTAAAGAGTAAAGTACTACGTAAACCAGTAGAGTACTACGTAGCAGCTCCGTGCCAAAGTTATAAAAGCAACGAGCGTCTCGGCCACGCCCTGTGGCGAGTGGGAGTTGGATTTGCAAGTGAGTGTAGGAGGTCAGCGGTAGTTCAGCATTAGCATATAGCATTAGCATATCCTAGTCTTAGCATATCTTTTAGTGTTATAAATACTTATTTAGTGTTAGATTTGGCTGTTTGATATTGTAGTTTAGTTAGTGTTTGGCTGTTAGTGTAATTGGGAAAGTATTTCGGGTTTAGTGCTCCATTTCGTCTTAGTATTCGTGAGTAGGTGTAGTGTAGTATGCTTGCGGTGACTCTGTGGGCATTTTACCCGCGATTCTGCACGTCTCCGTTTGAAGAGGGAGGCTGCCCACCGTGGCTCTTCCGCGATTTAGATGCAGCCCACCGACTCTGCTCCCCCACCACGGTGGGCTCCAGTCTGAGGTGAGTAAGCTAAATAAACGTTTTAACATCTTCTAAAGACAATTCCCTACCTAAATGCAAAGTTTGAGAGACGTGGTTCACTTCCTTTAGCTAGTCAGTCGGTAATTCTGCAACAGTGGCTCTAACTGACGCAGCACTTGACAGACAGCATTACAGCGTGAAATCCAGCTTGTGAACAGGTTCTGTGAGGAATTCTGTTCAGGAGGTCGCATTTCAGGCTCTCCACATCATGTGTGACTGACTTTTACGTTATAATGATCACACACTAGGAATGTTATAAAGCGCCTATATGGGACAGTTTCTTTTGTATATTATCTGACTTTATAAACTCTCAACAACAATTTGCTTATATATTTTTTTCAGGCTAAATCTACCCAAGACACTGGCTGTCAGACTGATTTAGCTGCAAGAATGCACTTGTCCAGGCTGACGTGAAACCTTCCCTGTAGCAAAGGTGAATTATTTTTAATAATCTTCTATGTAAACATTTTATTATTACCTTCTAGTTTTAATTAGTTTTACAGATTATTGTTACACGTGATTTTATGCTCTTTTAAACATTTATAAATGTGCTGCTTCTTTGTTTTTACATAGCCAGCCAGAATGGAGTTCACAGCCGCAGTGTGTCTGGTGACCCACGGGGACCATGACGGAAATTCATCTTCCAGAAGGTCCCAGAGCAGCGTCCACACCCCCTGAAAAGACCAAGGTGTGAGGTGTCTGCTGTTGATTCCAGCTTCCACCTCAGTGACGGTGCAAGCTCAGTGAACTGTTCAAGGTAAAAAAAAATTAAAATATTTCAGAATTTTTAAGATATTAACAATTAAATAAGTATGTGATTACATCATGACGGAGGCTACTGATTCTGCCCCCGTGACACTTGGTGGTGACGTGTGAGCTGATTCACCTGGAAAACAACTTTTACATTAAATATTTTGTTTTTGCTATCAAAAGTAAATTAACTAATAACCTGCATTATTGCAGGACACTCAGCAAAATATGGACTCTGCACCATGAGGCAGGCACACGTTAATAACTCTATAAGAGCACATAAGGTGAGTAACACCACATATTGTACACTGTCCTGAATTTGTTTTCTTTCTGCATCTCATTAGCCTGGCTGATCACCTGATAACTCCTGCCATCTGGTTATGACAGCATGAGGATGTCCTCACACACCTGTAACCTATCAGCTCATCTGGCAGAATAGAGAGAGAAGAGACAACACCACATCTCCTGTTCCTGGAAAGCCTTCAGCCATCCTTCGATGACTGAGAACCTCCATCAGCTTTGTCTCCTGTCTGCCTACAATTATTATAATAAATATTGTGTCTGACAAGTTTTTTTGTGCTGCCAAATATCTCATATAGATTCCAGTTTTGATATTTTAATGAATATTTATAAATTACATTAATTGAATTATCACATTGTTACATGTTGAAATAGCTCTATTGTGATGAATTAAACAAGCACCTCACTGTTAAAAGCTCGTTTTAATTTCAAGCATGTTTAAGTATTTATGGACATGAACAAAAACAGGAAATACATAAATTGAGATTTATTTAATTAATATAACAAATAAGGAGGAAAGAGTCATTGAAAGGCACATTCTTCTGGAAGCTCCTGATCCTGATGGCACCAGCAGAGGAGACCACCTGCAGACACCAGAGACCAGCTGCAGACACCAGAGGACCTAGAACCAAGAGAGCAGCTGTTATCAGTAAATAAATAAATAAATCAGGGCAGTTTTAGTGAGCTGAACACATTACAGAATAATTTTCTCATGGGGTATTTTCATAACTTTATGCAGCAGACTGTAACTTGAGCCCAGAGCTACCGGAGAGCTGCTATCCAGCACGTTTCAGTGGATTTTCCTGCTTTAACAGGTTAGATTAGCTGTTAAGCAGCTCAGCTATTTGTTGTTGATTAAAACCAGGTGTGCTGAAGCAGATAAACCTCTAAAACATGCTGAATACTAGCTCTCCAGGGCCGTGGAGACAAACCCTGCAGCTAATCCAATGCTATGGCTAACGGCTACTTACGTTCAGAGGTGGTTCTGTTGGGTCGGTTCTGGGAGTTACAGGCAACTCACAAGCTCACAACAATAAGGCTCAGGTCCGCTTGTCTCCTCCAAATAGACTTGGTCCCTTTCTTCTCGAGTGTCTGGGTAAGGAGGGGGAGAAACATCCTCCACTTCTAATAACTGCATAGAGTGAAGGGAGCTAGCATCGTCTAGTTAGCCGTCGTCTTCGTCACTGCCGCGGCTCCGCCCTCTCTGTCCTCCAGGCAACGCCTGCTAATGTTGCATTTTTTAAAATTGATACGTGGGTAGAGAAGGACTCCGAGGCTCAATTGACCCGCTCTATAAAGTCCTTGTTAAAAAATATGGTATGGACACAACAGTTTAGTATAATTTCTATGCTTCCTTTTTTCTCCAAGGTGTTGGAAAATGTTGTTTCTGCAACTGACTCCCTTCTTTGATGGGAACCAGATTTCTGAGGTTTTCCAATCAGGTTTTAAGTTCTGCCACATTACTGAGACAGCACTGGTTAAGGTTTTTATTGGCATACTTCTGGCTACAGATTCTGATGAAACTGTATTATTACTTCTGTTGGACCTGACTGCAGCTTTTTATACGGTTGACCACTCCAATTTAATGTCACGTTTGGAAGATTTTGTTGGATTACGATGCGTTGCCCTGAGCTGGTTCAAATCATATTTGTCCAATAGGTCAGTGTCTGTCAGTATTGGTGACTTTTGATCCAAGGAGGCCCCCTTTCAATGTGGTGTTCCCCAGAGCACGGTGCTTGGTCCTCCACTGTTCTCCTTATATTTGCTTCCTTTGGGTGCTACTTTTTCAGAAATTTGGTCTGGCTTTTCATTATTACACGGATGACTGCCAAATTTTTACTCTAGTCAAATAGGAAGCAGGTATTTTACAGTGTCTTGAGGAGGTAAAAGTGTGGATGGCCTCTAATTTTCTGAGCATAAATGAGAACAAGACCGAAACTATTTTTTTAACCCTAGTGGGTCATCGACTGTTTCTCCATCTCTCTTGGATGCATTGTCGCCTTGTCCCAAAGATGTCATCTCAAACTTGGGGATCAAGGTATACTTGTCTCATCTTGTCTTCTTCCGCCTATCCGGGTACGGGTCGCGGGGGCAGCATCCCAACTATGGAGTTCCAAACCATCCTCTCCCGACCACCTCCACCAGCTCCTCCGGTAGCCTTCAAAGGTGTTCCTGGGCCAGTTCAGATATGTACTTTCTCCAACATGTCCTGGGTCGACCATGGGGGCCTCCTGCCTGAAGGACATGCCTAACACCTCCCTGGAGAGGCATCCAGGAGGCACCCTAACAAGTTACCCAAACAACCTCAACTGACTCCTGTCGATATGGAGGAGCATCAGCTCAACTCTGAGTCTCTCTTGAATGTCCAAGCTCCTCAACCTATCCCTTAGGCTGAGCCCAGCCACCCCATGGAGAAAACTCATTTTGGTCACTTGTATCTGCAGTCTTGCCCTTTCGGTCATTACCCAAAGGTCATGACCATAGGTGAGGACTGGGCGGTAGATTGACTGGTAAATTGAGAGCCTTGCTTTCCGGCTCAGGTCCTTCTTCACCACAACAGACCAGTTCAGCGTCCGCATCACTGCAGATGTTACCCCAATCGGCCTGTCAAATTCCTGCTCCCTCCTTCCATCACTTGTGAACAAGACCCCAAGATACTTGAACTCCTCTACTTGAGGCATGTCCACCCAGGTGGCATCCGACTGATGAACCACCCGCTGTTCCGCAGCTCCACGTCCGTCGACCTCCCCAGGGAGACGTCCTTCCGGTCCTCCTGCAGCAGCACCTCCTCGAGCAGCCTCTCCATGCAATGGGGTCGGGTCATGTGCGTCACCAGACCTGCTCGTCTCTGCAGACCAATGATGAATCCTGCTGGTGTCCTCCCAGGTGGCATCATGCTGACGCAGACTCTGCCTCGCTCTCTCTCGGGACCCCACAGCCAGCGGTGCTGCAACTGCTGAAAGAGAAGTGCACGGCTTATGTCGGTTGAAATGAATCACCTTCTCAGGACCCCCCTCAATGGGTATAAGCCTGTATAGCACATCTGTCAGTCGCTCAAGAACCCTAAACGGTCCTTTATATCGTCTCTGCAGCTTGGGGCACACCCCTCGCCTCCTCAGCTTATTTCGGACCCACACCAATTCACCTTATGAGTAGAACTGGCAGGTGGCCCTAAAATCATGGGCCCTCTTTTGTTGCACCGCGGCTCTGCTCTGATGGCGTTTCACCGCCTCTACCACCGTAGTCGAGGTTTCCTGCAAACCTGTCACATCCTCATCTACTGAGGCAAAGAGTTCTCCCTGATCCAGGCCCAACATAACATCAACAGGCAGTACGATCTCCTGCCCGAACAGAACCTTATAAGGTGTGACAGATGTGCTAGCATGAACGCTACTTCTATAAGCCAACATTACATATGGCAGCAAGGCATCCCAGTTAAGCTGATTGTCTTCCACAAAAAAGGTCAACATAGTCAGCAATGTTCGATTAAACCTCTCCACTAATCCGTCTGACTGGGGATGATAGGGGGTTGTCCTCGTTTCGTGGATCTGCAAAAGTTCACATAGCTCTCGAAATAGTTTCGACTCGAAATTCCTCCCCTGGTCGGAATGGAGGCTCCGCGGTACCCCTAACCGACACACCCATTCCTCGGTCAGCACCCTCGCGATTGTTTTATCCTCTTGATTATGGAGTGGGAAGGCTTCTGTCCATTTAGAGAAGTAGTCACCTACTACCATGATGTATTTATTTCTCAGTCCAGTTTCAGGAAGTGGACCCAAAATATCCACGGCAATGCGCTCGAAGGGCCTAGATGTCAGTGACTGCTCCAAAGGTGCACGTGGTGTTCCTCCATGCATTTTAACCGAGCCACAGTCTGCACACTCACGAACCCAAGCCCTTACGTCCTTAAACCAATCGGGCCAATAGAAACGGTCTTTTATCTTGCCTTGCAGTTTTTGAACCCCCAGATGGCCTCCAGTGGGGGCATTATGTAACTGCTTCAGGACCCCTGGCACCAGAGCCCGAGGCAAAACAACCTGGATCACCTGTGCAGCATCAGATTTTGCTGGTGCTACACGCACCAACTGGGAACCCCGAATTTCGAGTTGATCCCACACAGGTGCAAACGGTTTTAGTTCTAGGTCATCAGGGCCTATACACTCTACACCCTGTTTGGCATCCCTGATTCGCTTCAGCACTGGATTATCTAGCTGCGCCTGGCTGAGTTTGTCCATCTCCGAAATCTGGCCAGATCCTGATCCTCCCTCTTGAAGCGAGCACACCCTCAACTCAGCTCCCAAGGGCTGCGCTCCCTCGCCGGCTGATAAGTTCTCCGGTTTACAATTTGGCAGTCTGGAAAGGGCATCCGCGTTACTATGCAGTCTACCTGGCCGATGAATGATTTTGTATTGGAAATTGGCCAGCTGCTCTACCCATCTAGCCAGTTGTCCCTCCAAACCCTGGAAGTTATGCAGCCATCGTAGAGAGTTGTGGTCTGTCCTTAACACAAATTCTTTGCCCAATAAATAATGTTTAAAGTGCTTAGTAAAAGTGACCAGACTCAAGAGCTCCTTCTTTGTCGTGGCATATTTGCGTTCCTGCTTTGTAAGAGCCCTACTAGCGTAAGCTATAACCTGCTCTGTTTCCCCTTCAACCTGTGATAATACAGCCCCAATCCCCACCTCGTTGGCATCTGTATGTAAGATAAAAGATTTCTTGGGGTCGGGGTCGGTCAATACAGGAGCAGTTATCAAACAGGTTTTAAGTTTCTCAAAGGCCTCCTGACAATCTTCACCCCACTGAAAGCGTTTTCCTCTTTCTTGTAAACGGCGCAATAGGCGAGCAATGTCCGCAAAGCCTTTCACGAACCGTCTATAATGAGACGCCAGGCCCAAAAAACTCTGGACCTCTGTCTGATTAGCTGGGATGGGCCACTCTCTTACTGCCTCTATTTTAGCTGGATCTGGCCTAACGCCTTCAGCGGAAATCACATGACCTAGATAATGGACCTGTGTAGAAAAAAGGTCACATTTGGAAGGCTTTACTTTTAGATTAGACTGCCTCAACTTCTCCAAGACCGTGCCCAGACGTGCTAGATGCGCCTGAAAATCACGCCCGAACACGATAATGTCATCCAGGTAAACTAAACAAACAGTCCACTGCAAATCAGCCAAAATCAGGTCCATCAGGCGCTGAAATGTACCAGGGGCATTACACAACCCAAAACTT